TTTCTTTCCAGGTATTGATCTGAACTGCTTTTGCTCCTTTGAAGAGACTGGATATGATCAGACTTAAGGAGGAAAGAGGAGTCACAGCCACAAGCCCTGACAGGATAGTATACTGGATGTACCGTGCTGTGAGTGGTGTCTGCACTGCGGAGGTACGGACAAGGGCCTGAACAAAAGTTAGCAAAGTAGCCCTTAGGCTCGTGGACCCATTTCCAGCCAAGGTCCTGTCGGAAGTCGATGTACAGAGGACGCACACAGCAGTTCTCCTCCAGGTTCCTGAAATACAGTATAGAAACACAGTGAATCTAAAGAGGGACCTTATATGTGATTGTGTGATGCAGCTTCCTAAGCAGAAGGACGAGTACCAGCAGTGCCCAGTGGGAGATGGTGTTTGCCTGCACCAAGCGTAGAGGAGCAGCACAGGTGAGCAGTGGTGGGCAGCTCAGCGGCCTGGCATTGCCTGTGCCTGCCGGCAGGCAGCTTAACCACTAGCCCAGGGAGGCAGCACCTCTCTTGCCCACAGCAGCACCCAGCTGGTCTCTGGCACCTGGAGCTAGAGCTACAGAGGCAACCAGGGGGCTGCCGCTGGTCCCTGCCCAGGCTGTGCTCCAGGAAGCCACTCGCAAGTCTCCCTCTAGCCAGTGGCTCAGCCAGAAGCACACAGTGACTCTGCTGAGCTGGCCAGCACCCCCTTCTTGGACACCATGAGGAGCAGCTGGCGGAGTTGTACTCCTCATGTGACCCCAATGGAACCATGGTGACCCACAACCCCCTTGGAGGGCTCTGCCTTTCCTGATGGCATGGAGTCTCGCCAGGCTTGCCCACCTCAGGCACGGGACCTGGTCACTTCAGGCAGGATTCTCACCGGAAACAGTAGTTGGTATCCAGGGCCCGTTTCTTTCTCTGGCCTCCCAATGCTGGGCTCTCCAGCCGATGTGGGGGTAACATCATCAAGATGAGGTGGGGATTATGCAAGTCTTTCTGCTTCTTCAGGCGGCCCAAGTCCCCACGGCCATAATCATCCTCACTGTCAATGCCTTCAGAGAAAAACAGGATCCACAAAGACGACATAAGTGTGGAAGTGGAGGATGCAAAAAGACTTTTCAGTGCATTTAACACTCTCATGCCTGCCCTTGAACCAGGGTGAAAGTTTTTCAGGCACCACATCCACTTGCTCTCAGACTTCTTCCCTCGCAGGGACCCCTTTACTCCTGGTGAATCTGACTGCTGCAGGCCTGAAATAGAGGCTTACCAGGCCACCTGTTTTACCATTTGCAAACTGATGGTGGGGCCATTAATCCATCCCACTCACTCCTGGCTTCAGTCCCAGGACAGGCAGGAAGATGAATGGTTTAAAGAAGATGTCAGATCATTGGCACTCCGCAGAACAGCCTCAGAAATGGAGCCTGTGGGGGCCAGTGGCTGCAGCCCAGGGCTGCCAGCCAGGAGGTTCCTAGTTCTTAGGCCAGCCAAGCCACTGACTCTCTGGGCCACCTCACACAGGATGCCTGACTTCCTTGTGTTTCAGTCACCCTAACTGGAAAGCAGAGCCTCCGTGGAAATCTGAGAAGGCATCAAGCTGAACTTCCCAGAGAGACATTGAAATACAAAATTATTCCTTTCTGCAGACACTTGTGCAAACCCACCCAGCCCGCACTTACTTTCTTCCATTTCTAACCTACGTGCAAAGCGGATATACCCATATAGTCAACATGCAAACCCAGAACTGTATGCTTTAAGACAAATGTTACGCAACATAATATGCTCAAATATGCAAAGCAAGACCTCGTTTTTCCTTTAGATTCTCCAGGCTTTCCCTTCCCCAACAGCCTCCCTTAACCCAGCTCATTATCACCTTTGAACTTGATCTCCAAGACCTCATGCAAATTCTCCAAGATGTCCCCGTTGGGCTGAAAAGTATGGCAAGGACAGTGTATGCTAATTTCCAGGCCAAGGTTGGACTCTGCAAAGAAGATGACTCTGTGAGAAACAGTCTTCCTTAGCTGGGCAGCCCAGGCGCAGGGCAGTTTCAGTGAGGACAGGTACTGTGGTAACTGCTGGACTGTGGGTCAGTCTCAAAGTCAGGGATGCTATCAGAGCTGGGGAACAGAAGCTGCCTTGGAAAGGAGAATGGGAAGCAAAATCTTGAGGCTTCACCTGTGCCAAAAGCCTTGCTCTTGCTAAAGGGAGCTTCCTGGGCAGCTGAGACGAGTGCCCCTGGTTACATTTTTTAGGCTATTCAGCATCTAAAAGCATTTGTGAACTTCAAGGAGCTCCACTGGAAAACAAGTATTATGAAGAGCTGGCTTGCGGTGTCTGTGTTAAATCAGTTTTGCCATCCTCAGTACCTGTCTACTATCTGGCTTCTGGTTAGTGTCTGAAGGAGAGATCTGAAAATGAGGGAGTTGGATATGGACAAGTAATTTTGCTGGAAGCATTTTTCTCAGCAGCTGCAACCTCCTGTTTTGTTGAACTGCTAGCGGTCTAAGTCACACAGACTTTCCAGAGGCGAGTCTATTTTCATAATAACTTCCTGGACCAGTCATGCTGTGTGGGCCTGACTAAGGGAGCGTAAGACTCTTATGAAAGCTCCTTTTTTATGTTGTGTCATGAATTAAAACATCTGGCTCCCCAGGGCATTGACAAGGTGCCTAGCACCTTTTTTCCTAAGCTCTGTATATTCTGTGATGTCTTGTCAGCTAGTGTGCCTGCCCAGAGCTCACTGCAGTTCCAGCCCTGAACTCCAGCCATCAGGACACAACTTAGATTGCTTGAAAAAGGAGGAGCCTACAAGCTCACAGCTTACCCTTCCAGCGAGCGGCTGCTTGCCAGTACCTGCATTCCAGTTTTCAGTGGCACCTAGCTTCTATCTGTGAGGCCAATCCAGCTGTGAGTCACGGTGCCTATACTCCAGCTGTGAATGGGGTCAGTGTTCTTGCTGGGAACTGCCCCATAACTATCTGTTGGGCTGCCCAGTGGCGGCAGAGGTATGTTCTCTGCACTGCTAAAGCCTCCATCTGTCTAGGTGTGTCAGCCTCTGGTATTTCCTCACCTTTATACCTGCCAAGCTGTAAACAGCTAAAGAAACCATGATTCGTTCTGTTTTTCTCCCTGCTCTAGTCCACATGAAAATTAAACCAGAGCAATCCTCATTTTCTGTGTATTACAGATTATAGTTAGACAAGCAGAGGGGTCCCCCCTGGGCTTAGACTTGAAGAACCAAAAGAAGTTCCAGCATCTCTCAGTGAAAACAATTTCCTCCTCCAGAGGATGAATCCTCATTCTGAGTCAGCCCCCAGAGCTGCACAGCGGAGACTCCAGGACAGAGCTAGGAATCTAGCAAACATCACACACTAAGGTCGCTCCCTGGGGGAATACTTGTTCTAAGACTGAAAGAAGCTGTCCTCTGTGTGAGCCAAGTTCATGCCAAAAGGGGAGCAGAGAGAAACTCCGCTCAACATCGATCCCCATTTCTATTGATGCCTGGACACCTGGTCCAGCTAAGACCCCTACCCCTGGGCAGAAGCCACTCACGCACAGTCTCGGTGACATCAAAGGACAGCCACTCAGGGGAGCCTCGTGTCTGCACATTCCTGCCACTGAGGTAGCGCTGCTTTGCTATGTGCTCATCCGGCCGAAGGATCTGCGTCAGAAGGAGTGGTAGAGAGAATCAGCCAGTGCTGTGCATAAGGAAAGCATAGCCTTGGGTTCTTTTTCTTCCACAGCTTGCCAAAAACTAATTCAGAAGGTTGGTCCCGGCAAGTGAGACACCAGGAATACCCTGGACAGGTGAGGACATGTTTCACAACCAACCTAACTCCAGAGATCTACACAACGCTTATTTCTGAGTTCTAAGCAGCCCCCCGTCTCAATTCATCCTTGTTGCGGGGCATATAGCCAGGGGCAGAAGCACACAGCAATTGATCTAATGGGTGGTTTTGTTTCTGTATAAACCTGTGGAACGTGCGTCTGGATTTCAGAGTAGAACCAGCAGTGGGCAACAGAGCATCTTGCCACAGGTGCCTTGCCCAGCAAGTCTATTCAGTCCTACACTGTGGGGTTTTCATGTGTCCTACGCTCTTCAACTTCTATGAAAACACAGCAGGGGTGATCAGGTGTGGAGACCTCTCCCCCAGCTCTGACATCTCTTCCTGCTTCCAGACAAACAGCTGAAGTCTGTGCAAGGTGTTCCTTCCTGCAGGACCCCAAGTTCACTCCACAGAGCACTGAACCTATGGAGAAGCTCTGAGATTGCCTTCTTGTCAGTTGTGTCAAGTGGTGGAGAATGGCTCTGACCTTTGAAGCTGCATTCCAGGAAGTCCTCAAGAGCTACCAGCCACAGGGCAATTTTAGCTGCACTCTTACTGCAAAGCGGACAGACACCAGCCTGTGGGAATGTGCTGCCTGGATGCTAAACTACAATTAGCTGGGTGGTCTGGCCTATTCTGAGACCACTTCCAAACCTGAACCAGACCTTATTCTGCCAGGGGAGTCCATGGGTTCAAACCGAACTCCAGATAAGTACCTGAATTAACGGTGTTGTGAATTGTGCCTCTGAGGAGCTGCTGCTGAAGGGAACATTGAAAGCAAGCATTATTTTTTCAGTACATCAGGGACAAGACAGAGAGCTCCACCCATTGGATTAGCACCAACTGTATTGCGACAGTCAAAGGAACAAAACTGCCAGGGACCTAGGCATGCAGAGGTAACAGAAGGGTCAGGGCTGCTCCACTGGTGAGGGGTTCCCCTTCCAACCCCCTTCTCAGGGCAGCAAAGAGCTGCAGCAGGCACCATGCCAGGGTGCCCAGAGGAACCAACCAATGTGAGCAGGGAAAGGACAGCACCACACTGTAAAAGGAGAAAGAAAGGTGACTGTATCACTGCATATGCTAGAAGAAGCCTGGGGTACAACAAAGCATTTCTCTCTCTCTTCTATGGCCCTGCACATATCAGCTGAGGCAACCATTAAGGAGCTAAGCTATTCTGGGCTCAGACACAGGGGAAGGCAAGAGTACTCACCTGGAAGAGCTCAATGCGCTGCTCGCTGCGTTTGGAGCTCGGGTTGGGCACACGCAACACCCGAAACTCAGCCCGGAACAAGTTGGTGCTATTCTTCTCTGCCGAAGACACATTAAAGCGGAACACATTGGAGGTGACACCTTTTGGACAAATGCCCAACTCATCTAGGAGAAAAAAAGATGGAAAGATTGAGAACCACAAGCCAGAGGGGTGGGATCTCAAATAAATATTGTTTGAGAAAGAGCTTTCCAGCAGAGGCCCGTCATTCAAACATCTTGCCACCTGTAAAGCATGGCTATCTAGCTAAAGATAACACAGGTTGAATTCACTCAAATTTGGTCTAGGTGGCAACATTTTGCAAAAATCTTCCCACTACTGCCACCATTATTTCAATGCTACAAGCCAGAGAATCAGTAGAGATCAACCACAGTATTTTTAATACTGTCTCTTTTAACTCTGCTCATCAAATGTTGCTAATGCTCATGAATCTGCTGCATCCAAAATGACAACCCCAGCCAAGGCAATGGGGCAACCTCATTTGCAGCTAGTGGGGCCCATTCCCAGTAGCGATGATGGTATAACTCTTCTCATGCTGGAGACGTGAAGCCACGCAGGAAGTGATCCCACTGCCGCTGAATTTCTTTCACAAAAAAATCTCTTTTACAAACCTTGACATTGTCTCCCAGACTGAAAGCCAGCTAGGTGTCCGCAAAGCGTGAGGTGTGTGGATGACTTTTTGGAGCAGTGACTATTCAGTGTGTACTGAAAGAACTGGGGTTTAAGATCAATTCTCACACACGACCTGGCAAAGGAATTAATGAATAGTACTAGATACAAAGTTCTTCAAGGACAGAGTAATAGTGCCTGTGGAGATCAGACACGTGGGCAGGAAATAACATGGCAATTCTCTGCCTCGTTGTGTGCCTGCTGCACAGAAAAATCCATTTCACAGATGCCCCAAAAGAGAGTAGGTAAAAGCTATGAGGTCCAAACTGGAGTCCTCAAGAGAAAGCAAGCCTCTCTTCATTAGGACCATTATCGGTCCCATGGAAAAGTCTTAGTCGTCGCTGTTGTTCCTCTCTTATTGACCTCTGTTAGCCTTCATGGCTGTAGCATCATTTAGGCTTCCTGCAGACAAGACACAGCAGCTCCTGCTCTCTGCCCATACTCAGGTTTGTTTGCAGCTCTACAGAGCCTCTCATATGACCTCTGACTGTTGTCCAGTGCAACACCCTGCTGTCATGTCAGCTGATATTTAAGTTGTTTTTAAACAAAAAAAAAAAAGAAACAAAAAAAAAAGAAACAAAAAAAAAAGAAACAAAAAAAAAAGAAACAGAAAGAAAAGCTATCACCTGTTCCCATCCACAGTTCCAGCCTGTGACAAATAGGCTACAACCTAGTTGAAGCAACCTTCAAGTTAGATTCCTGGAGATCCCCCTCTTTACACCACCACCACTATCTCCCCAGGGAAACAGCTGCTGAAGATGGGCTAGTGCGAAACAGTGGCTGAGCGCAGAGGTTCACCTCCCATGCCAAATTCTGATTTGGGCAACAACTTTCAGAGTCGTCTCCATGAAGATGAAGGTCTTCCTCTTGTGCTACACTCAGATTCAGCAAGCAGGAGCCTGCCAGTTTACAAGGATGTGTTCTTAGGGTACTAAAGTTATACTCAATAAGCTAATGATCAGATGGTCACATTGGGCTTTAACTGGAGGGTTTTTTTGTCATTTGTACTACTGAATGAAACAGCTTTCCCATACAGCAAAGGCTCTGGCTGCTGATCTCCAGAGGTCCCTTCCAACCCTGACCATTCTGTGTAATCCCAGGAGACCAGACCCCATTGCGGCCATGAGCTGGTATGCTCAGCCCAACAACCCTGCAGTGCAAAGAGTACACCGAGCCACATGATGACACCCACTGTGGGGACTCCACCACTGTGACCAGTTCTAGGCTTTATGCCACGGAAGAGCACTGCAGAAAACCCAAGCTCTGATCTCATTAAATGCCCAAAGGCATCTTCCCGGCTGAAGTCTAACAGTGATAACTGTTCTGTGTCCTGGACCTTGGCAGATACTGTGTTTTAATACCCCCTTAAGCTGTTTTGCACTCCTAGCCCTATTAATAGTGCAGTTAACAGCCTGCCCTTCCATTTCAGACCTGACTGCCTGACCACGAGGGGTGTCCCAGTAATAATCAGAAATACCTTCCTAGATCAGACCAGTGGTCAGTCTCACCCAGTATATATTTCCAACAGTAGTGCTTTATCTGACAATCCATTTAGAGACTGCAGATCCGTCACCTACAACACAGTGCAGATGACAGACAAAATAATTTATTGTATATTGTCTCCTTAAGATTTTTGGCTAAGTTAGGCAGTAATGGTGGTAAGAGATTACTGCATCTACGGTATTTTACATGCTGTCCCCTCATTGCCTTCTACCTCCTTACTTCACCAGCAAGGTGCTGGTGTCTTGGGAGACCTTCCTAGTGGAAATAGTAATAGCTATCATCCCTTCTCTACGAAGTTTCATGTTCCCTTTGTACCCTGGGAACAAGTCCTCTGTGATGGGGAGATGGAGCTGTGTTCTGTGTTTCACTCTGAACCCTGTGAGGTTGGAGCCTACTTCTCAGAGGAGGGGTGTCCAGGATACAGGTCTCACGCCCAGGAAGCTGACTGCTTTGGGGCAAAGGACTTTCTGCAGGAGGTCACAGGCAAAGGAGGTGAGGTGGTTTTGCTGGGAATTTGATCCAGTCCCAGCTTGGGTGTGTTAATCACACTGGAATCCGGACATGTCCACCTACTAGCACAGATCAAAGCCTGGAGGCAATATTCCTGCAAGATCTTCCAGTCCACAACACTCAGTGGCTGTAACCAAGCTTGGAGACAGGGAACCTGTGACACCCTGTGCACCCATGCCAGGCTACATCTGACACGACATGATGTATTTTCATGATCAGACCCTGCTATTACTGCAGAGCCCAGACAGCCCAGAGCTGTTGACTGCACAAATGATAAGACCAGTAGCCTATTAGCATGGACAATGTGATACAGGGAGCGGGTTCTTTTAGGAGCTTCCCTCTTCCTAGCACTGCTTTCAGCAAGGTGCAGGTTCTCCACATGCTGCTGATCCTACACAGCTGCTCTTTCTGGCAAGCCCCAGGAAGGCTGATGGCTGTGCGGTTATAATTTGATGTGAAGGAAGGGCAGGCCATCTGTGAGCAGGTATTTTCTCACTCCATATTATACCATTGGTAAGTCAAGGTTTTTGTATGCCAAAGCTGCAAAACTTTGGAGAGAAAAAAATAATCTATCCTTCTGGAACTCTGCAGGTGGCAGGTTTCGAGGGAAGAGATGCTTGGCCCCAGCGACCCATGGCTTTCATTGCTTTGTCGCTCAAGCTGGCTTGCAAAATGGCATCTATTTTTCCTCAGGAAGGTAAGCAAAGCCATTTGCAGGACCATTGCAGATATTCTCTGAGCTTGAATCTAACCAAGTCTGAATCCCCATGGGTTCTAGGAGATCCCTAAAGTGAATGGCTGGTCAAGAGCGAGTTATTCTCTGAAAGAAAGTCCCTTATAATTCAAGCAATGAGCCCGAGAAGCACAGCAGAAAGACCATTCTGTGAGTCACCAAACAGCTCAGAGTAGGGATGGGGAACCTGGTCCTGAATATCCTTCCTTCCTAGAAGGATGGGGCTCTCCGCTGCTATTTTTGCTCCTCAGTTCTCCTCACTTTTAAGTCTTAAGTCTTTCAGAAGGATGAGTTCTCTGAGCCAATGAGCTGCTTGACCGATAGTTTGGAGTTAGAACAGTTTGTGTGCACATGAATGTGCGTGTGCACACATCTCAGACTTGTCTGTATCGTCCTCGTGGTTCCCTCAATGGAGCAGTCCTCCCCTTCCACCCCAGAGGAGACTGGCTTTGGCTCAGAGCATGTTCTGAGATCACCACCTGGCACAGTGACAGAGTCATGGGAAAGTTGAACATCAGCCACTTCTGAAGACACAGGGCCAAATTCAGCCACAGTATAAGCGGTGAAATTCCCCAGGTTTCAAAAGGAGTGTGTCTCTTGACACCAGGGCCTGTCTGGAGCTAGTCTCTCCCCATGTGACCCAATTCCAAAGTTCCCTCTTTCTCTGGGTGGTGGCATCCATGCTGCCCAGTCCCAGGAATTAAATCTCAGCACTGCTTGGGTCTCTTGAACCAGCTGCTCAGCACCTTGACCCGGTGTCCTACGAGGACATGGAACAGGTTCATTCATTTCCATAGGAATTTTCCCCAACACACAGTTCCTCCTCACTGCTCCTTCTCATGCACCACATGTCTTCATTCCTCTTTCCCCTCTACTTTATCCAAATCCTCTCCTCTGACTTCATTTCCCACTGCTGTGCTTTCCCAGTTCCCTTCCCCAAAACACACTGGTTCATAGTGTGGCTGTACTGTTTTGCACAGACACTTGGTTTCCCCATATATTTTTAGACTTTCACAAACGACACTTCAGTAGGTCAAAATGTTGAAATACGGGTAAGCTGCTATACCCTGTGCACTTTCTGTTCCTCGAGTCTTGGTGTCTTCTGAGCTAAGTGCTAATCATATAACCATATGGAGTGCAGTCTGCTAGAGATTAAGTGAAATTTGTTGCATTACCACATTGTAGCTCTTATTCCAGCTCATCATATGTCAAGATTAGCATAAACCTGGCAGAGTAACTGCATTCTGAGGCTGCCTGCACCAAGTCACAGCTCCTCCCCAGAACTGCTAGTGTTCAAATTGTGTCCCCAAGACTGCACTACATCACAGGAGGACACCCTGGATGGTGGCATGCCCACCAACATCTTCCAATCCTAAGGAATCCAAAGCACAGACTGAAAGGATTGCTTCTGCCTACATGTGCTCAGCATCTGCAATGTGCTTGGGGTTCACGTCTGCTCAGTCTCTGTCTTTGCATCTGTGTCTGCTCAGCTTCTGCACCTGAATCTGTTTAGTATCTGCATCTGGGCCTGCTCATCATCTGCTCCACACCTGCTCAACATCTGTCATGTTTCCTCAATGCCTATGTTCCCCTGGGGGTCCCCTTCGCATCCCTGTCTGCTTTGCACCTGCTCAGCATCCCTGTAATCTTCTACTCGCTCTCTGAACCCTCACGCTATCTGAGTAACACCCTCGACAGTGTCCTCCAGGCAGCAGCCTCTTCAGAAAGTGCCTCTCCACCTTCTCTACAGCCGGTGCGGGTGCTGCACAGACCAAACAGGTTGCCTGTATCTCTGCGGCAGCTTCAGCAGGGAGGAGTCCGTCTACCTGCCCGTCACCCAAACGCTAGCCCTGCGCCTTCTCCTCGCCCGCTGCGCAGCATTCACCCCGACACGCAAGCTGCCTCCTCTCCTGCTGCCTTCCCACCTCGCGTCTCTCGCCTCCCCTCCCCGCCTTCCCCCAGATGTCCAGGCACTACACACGGGCTTGGCTCGCTGCTCCCGG